GAAAGTTAATAATATAGTACCCCCATTTCTTATTGGATTCCTTAAAAACAATATTTATAATGAATTTTAATAATTTTTTTGGATTTTTTTTAAAGTTTATTCCGACCAATTTGATCGATTCCCGATCCGGATCGCCGATTCACTGATCCAGATGGGTTTTTAGGGTGCTTGATCCGAAGCACCGATCCATTTTTTAAACCACTGGTATCAACATAAGATTTTGAGTTGGATGTTTTGAAACAAAATGATGGCTGATCTGATATGCCTCCTCTACCAGAAAAAAAAAGAAAAAAGAAGGAGTTTCTTAGATAATTGTTTCTTAAAGGAGTAAATTTTTTTTGGGTCATATAACTGAGGAGTGGCATTCAATATTGGCATGGCTTGTAGGCTATTTTCTTAAAAACCAGTTATATTAAGGCATATTTTGTCTTAGATCTGGTCCGTGTTTTAGTATGCCTTATGTTCTAAGAAATGACAGACCAATTTGCATTTGAACAAGCCTTGAAGTTAGATTTGCATACTGTGATTGTATAAGGATAGAAGAATTCATATGTGATGAACTCCTTTCCAAGGATGTCTAATGTGTAATTGTGCTGTGATTTATGCATGCCTTTCACATTGCACATAATCCATCATTTAGCTTGCTTATATTCTTTTTTTTTAACCTTCCCACAAGGAAATACTAAAATGAATGCCATCTCTTGCACCACATTGTTAAGAATGCCCCTTAGCATGATAGCTTTATATTTAGAGAGAGTTTAATGAACACTAAGTTCATATTCTAATGGTTGATATTAATATGGTCCTGTCATAGTCATAGGATGTCTAATTCATGCCTGCATTTCCAAAAGAAGTGAAAATTATGACTCGATTTCTCTAGGGCATTGTTGCCTATTTGTGCAATACAGACTAATCGACTCCCTCTGCAATCTGTCCAAATGATAGGACGATGATGACAGTTCTTAAAGCTGACTGGTCTACTTTACTATGAAATAATGCTGGCCCATGTTTACCTCCTCTTCTTGCTTGCCATGAACAAAGGTATTATTCATGTTTGAGACTAATAGATCATCGAGATTAATTATGAAGAGCCTACATCCTCTTGCTGGTTCTGGTTTTTCTGTTAAGCTAAAAATCTCATCAGCAATGAGGCCATGATCCTATTCCAAACCCCTGTCTGCAAACGGCTCCTGATCTTTTAATTTTTAAAGGGTGTGCTTTGATCAGGTTGCAATCTGAAACAACGCGCACCTTCAAACTTCTTTGTGAAATATAATTTTGGTGTCGAAAATTCTTAGGATGATGTGAGAATTTATTCTTATCTCTAATTATAAAATTTTAAAATCCCAAAGCAAATCTGTACACGCATGAAAATCTTGAAAATGGACGATCAGATAATATGTTGCAAGATGTACTATTTTAGAAATTTGAATTTTTTTTTTTTCTATTCATACATCTCGATGTCAAGATGATCAATTAAAGAATTTTCCAACTTCAAAAAATCCTTTTACGATGGATTATTTAAATACACGTTAATTGTAGAGTTTAAGGTTGCAACCTTATGTAAACTTTTTCCCATTGGCCCGTTTATCATTTCAACTGTTTATGTATAGGCTTCGACTCTACATTAGGACCGATCCCAATTTCACAGAGACTATTCATTCACTAGAGAGAGAGACTTCCAGGTTTGACAATTATCGCTGACATGAGAGAGAGAAAATTTCAAGGGGGTGGCAATGGACGAGAGGTAGACCCGATCCTGGTTTGATTACGGGGTCAAAAAATTAATCCCGGTGGGTTAGGTCTGGCTCTAAATATTGTAACCAAACACTATTGGGGTCTGGTTTATGGTTCAGTAATGTTTTTCGAATCCCAATAAATAAAAAATATTTAAATATAGTTAAGTACATAGATATTTTAATTTTTGGGTTAGGCCTGAGTTCCAGTCCGGGTCCAGGTCCCACACTATATTTTTGGGTTAGGGTCCGAGTCCTATTGGGTCCAGGTGCCACACTATATTTTTGGGTCCGGGTTAGGTCTGGGTCTGGTGAATTCGAGTTTGGTAAGATCCGGGTCCGGATCCAGGTCCCATGTCATTTTTTTTGAAAATTGCATGCATAACAAGAGAGATAGATAGATAGATAGAGAGAGAGTCTTCCTAGTTGGAAATGGTAGGGGTGATATGAGTAGAGGTAGCAATGGACTCGGGACCCGACGGGTATTGGAATATGGTTGGGTGAAATGAGGGCAGAAAATGGTATGATTTCGAAAAAATAGATCGCGAACTCTTCTTGTTTTCAGGCACACATGAACGTTATCTCAAGACAATATTTGTGCCCCATTCGATATAGTATTTAATGTGCATAAAAAGGGCAATTCGTAATCGGGATACAAGAAAACAGAGAGGTCTTTTAGAATGTTATTAAGCTCTATGTACCCGAGCTTGGAACCCACACACTAGATACTAGAGTCTTGATAGTTTAGAGAGAGAAAGAGATGAAATCGAGTAGAGAGAGATAACTCACTGGTTTGCTTGCTGGAATTGCAGAGAATGGTCTATTGAGAGTGACTAAAAAATTGTTCAATGCGTATATTTCGTATGGGACAGACGCCTCATTATATAGAGCTATAAGGTGGCTGCTCATTAACTATAGTGGTGGTTACATGCATTACCAACAACTACAAGTTACATTAACTATAGTGGTGGTTCCATGCAGCACCAACCACTACAAGTTACATGCATCCCCTTAAACTCACTTGTAGTGATGGTTACATGTACCATCAAGTGCAAAGTGCATCATCAAGCGCCCTCCCACACACACATACATCGCACGTTTCGTGTACTCCACACATGCAACTTCTCTCTCAATTGTATTAAGAGTATATAGCATGGGAATACATGCTCTTAAATACAGCTTAAGAAACTCTCTCTTCTTTAATGTGGAAAGAACAATAAAACTATAGTCAAAGCAATTTAGGAAAGAATAATAAACAATAGTGTTGTTTTGAAATACTCATAAGTATTTTTCAAACAAAAAATACTAACAACTGGTATACTCAACCTTGGGTCCAGGTATGGGTCCAAATTTTGGATTCGAATACTTTCAGATTCAAATCTGAGTCAAACCGGAACCAACCCATACCCGTAGTCATATGGTATATGATGACAATCATGTGTCTTTACGTGCATGCTAGGTGTTCATATTGTCACAATATTGGCAACATTTACAATATTATTGGCAGAAAAAATAAGCTCATATTCATAAGATATATATGATTGTAAAAAACAGGCAAAGAAATGAAAATTCATAGTCACAGGTAGCAATGGATCTGACCTCAGACCAGGGACCAGCGGGTAGATCGAAGACCCGATGGGTCTAGGTATAGGTCCAAATTTTAGACCCCAATACCATTCAGATCCAGTTCCAAGTCCAGTCGGACCCGACCCATGCCCAACCAATTGCCACCCCTAGATATGAACCCTCGACACATGCAAATGGAGGGATGATCTCCAAAAAATAAAAAAAAGATATGGAACTGTGGAACTAATCCGGACTCAGATTTGGATTTGGATTCTATAAATATTTTTGGATCTCAATCTGGATCTAAATATTTAAGATCAGATCGGATCCAAATCCAAACTTGGATCCAATTTATATTATTCGGATCCGGATCCAGCTATAGTTGGATTTGAATATGGATCTAGGAGGATCCGGATCCAAATCTAGGTGGATCCGGACTCGATTCGAAAAATTCTTACCTCTCCGGTCCATTGCGAGCCCTAAACACTGCCAAAATATTATTTTATTTTAACAATAATACAACTACTCAAATTCATTTGCATCCTCCTAAATTGTGTAAAACAATGCTAGTCATTGATAGGCTAGGACTTGGACTGGGTCCATATACTTTAATTTTTTTCTTTTAATCGAGGGAAAAATGGATTCTCAAAACTTTTTTATGATAAAGATAAAAATACATTTTAAAGTTATCACAAATATTTTCAGTATTGAAACCACAATTATCAAAACTATTTAAAGGTGTGCTTTACTTTGATTGATTAGAGCCTCGGCTCTATGCGTACTGCACCTATATTTCATAAGGAGACATTTGAAAACAGATTTTAGAACATAAAAAATTCGAAAATAGGTGATACTTGCAAAATAAGGGTGTTGTTTAAATGAGGTGTGCACATTCAAACCTTGTTGGAAGATGAGTTTCGGTCCCGAAAAATCTTATAATGGCTTGAAATATTGTTTCTACCTCTAATTATGGAACTTGAGGATCTAAAAATGGAGTGGATCAAGTACATTTATAAACATATGAAAATCTTAAAATTGGATGGTTGGGATAATGTGTTACAAGATGCACTATTTATTTTTAAGGCTCCATTTTTTTTTTCATATCCATATATTTTGAGGTTGAGATGATCAACTGGAACAATTTTTTTTTCTTTCAATTTTTTGAGGGCAAGGAGACCCATTTCTATATTACAAAATTGACACCTTGTATAAATTTCTTCTCATTTTTGAAGCTTGAGATCCATTGTCCATCAAGATAACTACAGTTTTTGGCAAGATTTAAAGCAGCTTTGCTGACTAAAAGATATTCTACTTCCTTGGGAGTATACTGTCTATTCATTCCCTCATGTAGAACCTACATAGGATTAGTTTTAGGATCTAAATTTTGTGCTAAAACCTTTTTAACACATAGCTCAACCTCAATATATATATAAAAAAAAATTCATAATTACAGCACTTGAAAAAAAAAAAAATCTCGAGATTGAATAGAAACCATCCAATTTTTAGAGGGAGATATCTATGTCTTAGAAAACTCAAAATTCAAGTATTAATATTATTTTTAAAATAATTATCTAGTAATTCTAAAGTAGTTACTAAAATTTTGAATTAAAAAAATAAAAAAAAAATTTCTTGCCAACAAGGTCATCTTAGAGTAAAATATGCTCCTATACTCCCGAGGTAGCATAGTGTACGTGCTCGTCTGTGAGAAAAGCCTGGGCACTACGCGAACCTTTTCCGCAAAATCGTCATTTTATTCCTATAATCCCTGGTTGTCAGCACGAGGAGCGGAAATTCAAACCGCCCGGTTTTGCGAATTAATGAAATCTCGCACCCCCTCTCACCTCAGTCCCGAGTTTCTCTCTCGTCAGCTTCGAGGTGAGTTCAGGAGCCCTCTGATGAAATTTTTATTTTATTTTATTAATTATTATAATGGCTCCTTCTCTGTACTCTTAATTTCTAGGTGTGATGGGCCCACATTATCCACCTGATGCTTCATCTTTCTTACATTTTCCTCACTAATTGGGTTATCAACAGTTTTGTTAACACTAGATTACTCTCTCTCTCTCTCTCATGATTTTGGCTTTTGTTTTCTTATGTCTTGAGTTTTGTCAGCCTTACAATTGATTTTGACATATATCAAATATCAATTCCTTGATCTGATGAATTTTGAAGATGAACTGAGTAAAACCCATATTGAAGATGCATGCAGATTAGGAAATGCATAGCCTTACTCTTCAAATATAGAATGGAAAAGCAAAGCCCTAGCCATTTTTGGATTGGATCTATATGTGCTTTATGATGTGAGCTTCTGCTACATATAATGGGAAAAATAAATTTTGGGGTTTTTGCTTTTGGGAATTTTACACTGGTAATCATAGAAACCTGGATCTTAAGAACTGGAGTGGAGCTGATGATTTTTCTAACTGTTGAACTATTTGGAAGCATTTGCACCCTTTTAAATTCTAAATAGACTTTCGAAAGCCATTGCACTCCTTCCTTTCTGGATTTGATTTCTTGGATATCTTCTTGTTTACAAGCATTTATTAGTTATATATGCTTCTCATAGTAAGAGAGAGTTAATATCAAGTGAATGCATATTAAAAGTGCAATTTTATAGAAAAATCTGGTGCACTCAAAGGTGTGAAGAGTTTTCTCGTAGTAGAGATGGAACTTATACAGAATTGGATAACAAGGATTCTGGTCGACCATCTGGATTCCACATTATTGGGAACTGGCTGGCTCCCATATCTTTGGTTCCTGGCTGGGCAGGGTGTTGAGCCGGACGTGACTTAGGCTGACGCCGGGTTTTCACGCTCTGCACTAATAAATGGAAATTAACCCCCTCTACAAATTGTGACTGTGAGAGGAAATTTAAATGTTTCATGACATACCAATGATTATAATATAATTTGTTGAGCTTAAATGGTTCATCATATACAAAATACAATCATAATGATGAATAAGACACCTTTCTATTGGAATTACAAAGAAGCCTTTCATGATCTCAAGAAATATTTGCCAGCAACTGTATATAGATGGCCTGCATTCTACATCTTGAGTCAACCTTTTTCCTGGAAAAAATGATGGCCTATTTCAAAATATTCCCATAATCACAAGATAAAATTGGCATTAGGCACTGGAAAAATAATGTTCCCATAATCACAAGACAATTAGCATCCGGCACTGAAAACCAGATCTCACTAGTCATGACTTATTGCCAAATTATCTGAAGGTTACTGTCAACTGGTCTACAATTTATCCCAAAATTAAATTGTTCTCTAGTATGTTGGAAATAACATTGATCAAGGTTGGTGGAGTACTTGGGCACCTTGTCCAAATTGCATTTGGATAAGCCACGAAGTGAGATCTGCATCTTGCGGTTATAGAAGTTACAAACAATTCACATGTGATGAATTCCTTGACATAGCCTGGCCAAGGAGCTCTAAGTGTGTATCTCTACCATGATTTCACACATTCCTTTTTTAAGTTTAGTGTCTGTGCTCATATTTTTATTCACCATAGATGTTCTATTGAGATACTAGTGAATTAAAACCTGATTCAGATGATAGGAGTCCGGTAGTTTTATCCTTTAGAAAGTATTTCATGAACAATAGTACTATTGCTTCTACTCCCACTGAAACATGGTTTTCTAATGTGTTGTTGAAGATGAGTGCTTGCTGCTTATTTGGGACTATACAAGTCTTCCTTCAATCCAATTAAATGAGAAGGATGATTTTATGTTTAACAAACCTGAGTGGCTACACCTTTTAATTAAATTTTTGCAAAATAATGCTGCACCATATAGAGCACAAATATTTGTAGATAGGAGGAAATTCTAGTTCTATTTATATCTACACAAGAATTGGTGCTGATTAAGTTATATTGGATCTTTTGTCAAATGTTTTGATTTTGCTATGATGTTTAGCTTCATTGAGTTAGACTCTAGCTTCAGTATTCTCTAGTATCTCAATCAGAACAACTAGTATTTATTTTCTTATTCAGATTATGATTGAATGGGTGGAATCAGGTAGTAAATGCATGAAAAGTTCGTACTCTGAGTTGTATATTGGCAGCTAATATGAGGCAAAAACGGTGAAACTCTTAGTTTATGGATTTCCTGCTCAAATGTAGATTGTGATAAAGTCATTGTGGTTCCTTTGTTGAACAATAGAAAGATTTCAAAATGTTTAGATTCTCAATGGACTGGAGTCCAATTTTAAATTTTCGGCTAGCAATGTAAATCTATTAATTAGAATATTTTTTCTTGTTCAGTTTATGAATCATTGACGAGGAGTAATTAGTTATTTATAAAGATTATAAATGAAAAAGCATTGTGCTGTGAAGGCTGGCTTACAGAAGACTGAGGGAATGAATAGGGACGTTGGCTCCTCTGACTTCATAAGCAACTTACCTGATTGTATTCTGAGTTGTATCACTGGACGTTTATCCATGAAAGATGCAGTGAGGACAAGTGTATTGTCAAAAAAATGGAAATACGTATGGACTAGTGCCACAGGTCTTGATATGAATGAAGATTGCTTTTGCTTAAATAACCAAAATGGATGGAGAAATGAGAGGAGAATATCAACAGAAGATAAGAGAAAAAAAATGGTCAAAGCTGTCAGCCATGTTTTTAATAGTCATATTGGTCATATTGAAAAGTTTCAGCTCTTATTTAACCCTGGTATCTACACCTCCCATGTTGATCAATGGATTTCTTTCCTCACATGCAGTGGTGCACAAGAAGTTGATCTTGATTTTCGATTTCAACTGAAAAAATTTGTTGTGAACTTCTATCGATTGCCTTCGTATTTCTTCGATTGTGAGTCTCTTAGGGTATTGACTCTGCAAAATTGCCTTATACAACTACCAGTGGATTTTAAAGGCTTTAAATCCCTCGCGGTTCTTGTTCTCTCTGGTGTTTACATACAAGGTAGCCATCTTGAGGGTTTAGTTTCTAAATGTGAGCGTCTTCAAAGCTTGACATTGCAAAACGCTTGGGGTTTTAAGTTTATAAAGATCCGTTCTCCACTTAAGTCCCTTCAGTGCTTGACAATAGATAACAATTGCCGTGTAAGTCTATGTGAAGTTTTGGTTGATGCTCCAAATTTGTTGTCGCTGAATGTCACTGGTTACATGAGCAATCACTTCAACGTTCATGCGCTTGTGTTTAACTTTCCTCGGTTGGTGAACTTCTCTTGCACATGTGTGTCTCACAGTCCCTTCACACTGGATGGTGAACAAGCTGATGTGCTAGTCATGGTTCTAAAAAAGCTGGCTTATGTCGAGAATATGTCCTTGCTTGGATCTTTCATCAAGGTAATAATGGTTTCAAATATCTTTCTTTTTGAGGATATTCCTAGATGCTATTATGTGCATCAAATGTCATGTGCATTATTTTAATTGGCATCTCTCTCTCGTTCTCTCTCTCTCTCTCATGCTATCAT